AACCCTGGTTCAAATCTTGAGTTATTGAAGGAATTAAAAATGAACTGATTCCAAAAAAGCTCTGGTTTGCCACTATGGTGTCATAGTTTGCAAATGGGGGGCGCCGCCTCCCAGGTGGTCTAAGTTCCCCCAAACGGGAGAACTCTGACCACCTAATGGCAGCCCTGACAGGGTTAACATAGACCGGCTTGGAAATTAAGCTAAATTACCATATATAAGACTCTGTAGAGTCTGAAACATAAAGAAAAAACATTAATAGGCTGTCAAACATAAAATATGTTATATATGGTAATTTTATATAAACTTCCAAGCCGGTCTATGTTATCCCGTCAGGGCTGACATTAGGTGGTCTAAGTTACCCCATTTGGGGGTGGTGCCCCCCATTTGCAAACTATGACACTTTTCTAAAATTTGTCATTTGCATATGTAACTAGAAGAGTTCTACTACAATGCATGAAAACCTGGAGTTATTTAACTAAAAAATAAAAAAATTGGGGGGGGTACTCTGACAGGCTTTAAATAATAGCTCTTTTTTGTGGGTCACATTTTTAATTTTTTAACCTATTAGATATGCAAACTTTTTAAATCTTTCTATTCTGTTATGTAGCCTCAGTATTAGGCCTTTAATGCCCATCAAAAAATTTTTCTATGTCAAATAGTTTTTGAGTCATGGGGGTTTTTGTTAAAAAAAAAAGTGGTCTAAGTTACCCCGCCGGTCTAAGTTACCCCATTTTACGGTATCTACTTTCCAAAATCCAAGCTGCAACTGCAGCTTGCATACCTACCATTTTAGAAGCTATAGATTCAAGCTGCAAGAAACATCTCTTGTCTTAGTTGTCTAATTGTTAATAAAAGTATGCAAGAAAGCTGCAAGATTTAAAATTGATCATAATTCATAAATAGGTATGTGACTTAGGAGCTGCAAAATTTTTGTTTAAAGTAGGTTCCCAACTGAAACACTAGGAAAAAGCAAATTGATGAATACTTTTGGAATACAAAAAATTATTAAAATTCATTTTCATGATGCTCATTGTAAAATAGTGATATTTGTCAAAGAGCATCAAATAGTGCTTTATTGTTTACACTTATATTTTTCAAGAGCTAGTTCAAATGCCATTCTTGCTACAGATTTTTACAGGTCCATAGATTTTCACCTTACAATATCATATATACCCAATCTGAAAAAATCCTAGAAAGAGATAGTTTTCTATGGATAGTTATCTTAGATTATCACATTTTTCATTTTTTTCAAAACATTGACAAGAATAAAAGCCATCTATTTTTCTGTTTAACATGTATGTATCAAGTTTCAAAATGATCTGTCTGTAAATAAGAGTTTTTACCCAGACGGCCCCCTTCCTTCTGCCTATGTTAACCCTTGACCGCCTGAATTTTTGTGTCAAAAATCGCAAATTTCACTTTTCCACTTTTTAGTCTCACCTTAAAACTGACATTCTGACCTATCCAACGGTACCAAAATCATCTCTGTATGTTGATTTACGATAGTTTGCAAAAGGGTTGGGGGTGGGGGAGTTCTTCCACATTTAAGATAGGCAAAAATTACCGGCCGGGCACATAAATAGACGACCTGAAGACGCTATCTTTAGTTACCCGGCCGCTGTCATGTGGGATGGTGTTCATGCAGTCATTCCCACCCTCCTTGACTGAATTTCAGCTCCAGTAATATATAGTCTTGTATCCATGCCACCTTGAATGCCTATTTTGAGGCGCTCAGGATTTTGCCATGCTTTACTGAACATTCACACGTATTGTCACTGCAAACTTATCTCCTCCTAGAGTTTCTAAGCTACAGCAATGAGAGATATATAATTTGATTCACAAATAAAAGATCTACATTGGTTGTAGCTTTTTTCAGTTTTGTTATAGCTTTGAAAATATTTTGAAAAATGGGGTCAGGAAATTCAAAAGGGTATGGGGGGGGGAATCACAATTTTTTCAAAAAATGCCCACCCCACCCACAAAAATTGGAATTTAGAAAAACGGCAACAACCAATTGATAGATATGGTCCTTACGCATCAAATGATATGCGTCTCAATGTTGTAGCTTGAAAATCCTAGGAGGAGTTGGATTTCTACAGCACCCCCTTTTTGGCTGTTTTCTAAGAATTTCCTGTTTTCCTTCATTTTTTCAAAAAAATTCCCACGTACAAAAACTTCTTAGATTTATCTTTTGCATATGTGTATGTACCAAGTTTCAAAGTGATCTGTCTGTGAATAACCAAAATAAAATTTCCACAAGAAATTGGAAATTGCCACTGGAAATTGGAAATTTTATATTGGTTATTTACAGACAGATAACTTTGAAACTTGGTACACATATGTAAAAAATAAATCTAAGACTTTTTTTGTTCGTGTGAATTTTTAGAAAAAATGAAAGAAAACTTGAAATTGTTAGAAAACTGGTATTTTTTTAAAAGTGACTTGAAAGTCCGATTTGGCAGTAAAGGGTTAAGTGTTGAAGAACACCACATCTACTAACCCTTTCGCGTTCTGTCGTGAATGCATAAATCAACGCACAAAGATGGATTTGGTACCGTTGGATAGGCCAGAATGTCAGCTTTAAGATGAGACTAAAAACCAGAAAAGCCAAAATCCAAAATTATTGGTCAGACGCTTCCTTTAACACGTTAAGTGCGGGACGACCCATGGGTGGGTGGCAGGGCCTTTTTTCCGGATAAATTCCGCAATTTAGTTTTTTTTCAATTGTTTGTCGAGAAAAATTTATGATGGCAGTACTGCCTCATTAAATTATAAAATGCACGAAAAAAAGGAAAATATAGTTTTTGCACCTGAACATACAAATTTACCAGTATATTTTGAATTCTAGGCTTTTTAGCAGCGGACTTGGCCGTTTTTAGACCAGCTGCCAGCGCTGTGGGTTGTTGCCGCACTTAACGTGTTAACTCGTACTACAGAGAATTTCAAGTAATATTGATTGAATAATGTGATTCTAATGTGTCTTCATTCTAGTTAGTTAGGTATAAAATGGATGGCTAAATTTGCAATCCAAAACCGAAAACATTTTGGTCCAGTTCCTCTGTAAGAAAATATCTAGTAAACATAAGCAGACATAGTTTTGACTATGATGTGATTGTGTGACTAGATGGAGTGGTTGGAAGGAGGGTAGGAATAGAAGGAACTATTGCTATGAGGAGTAATTATCCTCCTAGAGAACATGGGGAATTATAAACTTGGGGTTTGATTCTCTTCTCTATTGTTTGAGGTCAAAGGAAACACTTATCCAGTGTCTGTTGCTTGTCATTTTTTTGTAACACTTCTTGATAATATGACATCACATTGTCATTAAAAAATTTTAGGCTCCTGCACAAGTTTAGGCTCACTCCTAACCTTCTTTGACTATAATTATTTGAATAAAGCACAAAATCACTAAGCAAGATATATCTGAATTCTGAACAGATAAAGAATACGCATGTCTGATCAAAGCTGAATCTTACGCAGGAGTGAGCATCATATTGTCTCATAAGCTGAGTTATGTGCCCAGTCATGAAGCATTAGTTCTTCATTAACATAAATTTTATTTGTCAAGAGAAAATTTTTTATTTAAATTCCTTGTCATTTACTAATTTTTTCATTAACTGAGGCCTTTGCTAACCAAGGTTCTTCTGTAATACTAATTAATTAAATTCATCATTAATGCAATGAATGTGTTTAGCATAGATTTTCTTTCTTTCATTCATGTAGGAAAAATATCCATGATTGAATCTCCAATGAATACCAGTTCCATTGGAAAAATCTTTTAAAACTATGTTCATAACTGATTAATAGTAAGTCATTCTGGCCAAATTGTGCAAAATTCTAGAAATTATTTTGTATATATTCAATGTTGAGCCAGCTATGTCACTTGCTCAGTTGTATATAAACATAGTAAACAGTAAATATATGGGTGGAAGTCATATTTTAATGACTTTCAAATTCAAGCCTGTTTAATATGTGTATCTGTTCTTAAATTTCACCTCTCAAATTTCATGCTACTCTCAATGGGTTTATTTCCATGTTTAGTGCTTTAAAAAAAGGAATTTGGATTACTATTTTCTATAAAAAAATTGGATTGAAGGTTTGAAGATAATGAGACAGCAAACTTTTATTTACCTTAGTTGGCTAACTTTTTGTAAAAAAAAGCAATAAATACAGAGTTACAACTCAGACATAATTACATGCACCTTGCACATTATTTGAACATTGTATGTGTATGTTGAATGAGGAGGAATAAGTGTGATCAAATAAACTTCTCTAATAGACAGTAAAATATAGCTTTTACCAAACCATCAGGTCATGCAAGTATGCAAACAAGCATTGAATTTTAACTAGTTTTATTGTAAATAAGTCCAACAATTTTCTGACTGGCTAGTAATATTCATAAATCTTACATTATATTATTGAATTACCAACTTTTTACTTGTAATGAAGTAGTACTTAACTGGAGCTGTACCACTCATTAATATGGTCAATAAAATGAAGAGACATCTTGCAATTGTTGCCTCAAATAGTTGATCTAATAGTTCATTTGCACCTAGAAAGGCCTTTGGCAGATTCATGCAAATTGGCAGAATGTCTCTTTTAAAATGTGATTCATGAAGGTTGCTTGTCATATTAACATAAAACTGAACAAAAGATGAACTTAAGGAAGAAGTTTTGTTGTGAAGCTTCCAGTCTCAGATAGCAATTTTTGCCTGCATTGCTTTTTTAACCATGTTGGAAGCAGTATTTGGTGTATTTGGATCTATCATAACGGTTAGCTAATAATTTGCTGTATTTACACTGAAAAAGCCTATTTTCAGTGAGACTAGTGAAGAAATCACTTGAAACAAGGCCATCTGATTTGATGACTAATGTCAACAAGCTGTGGTCTTAAATGTGTTATTGATTTTATAAAACTTAATCTTTCACCAAAAATTCTACATAAAAGATGCATGATTAAATGTAATTTTTTTTCTTTCACAGTTGCAAATGATTTGCATTTCTCACTGTGGCATTAATCAATTTTACTTTTCAGAGTTCTCTTACCATCTGAGCTCCTGAGCAGCACTTGAGTAGATAAGCAGCAAAACTAATGCCTCACCAGCTTTACTTTGACTTCACCAAGAGATCAGAAATTCAGAAATAAAGAGTGCTTCAAGAACCTTACTTTAAACCCTTCGTGTGCTCTGCTGCAACTCTCAAGTGACGCCCACGCAACATCTGTGGGCGTAAAGCTGCTCAAGCTGCCACTGCAATGCACTCTTCACTAAATTACAAGGAACATCCATGCGGTCAAGCTATGCATTCATTGAGCCAATTATCACTCTACCTACCACTTCATTGCTAGTGTTGTAAGCTATTAAGTAGGCTTCTGCTGTCACTCACAGCAACTTTTGTATGAAGTTTGCGCCACAAATAACTACTATTTATTGAATAAGAACTAGAAACTTCATCCTAAGGACCACAACTGTGTTTGTTTTGTTTACCTTTAATCTTAATTGTTGTGATTTCTTTTGTCATGAGTGTATGAAAGACATCACTGCTTGCCACTCGTCTGGAAAGAGGAACTGTGTTTGTACATAAACTTTTACCATAGTGCAACATTATCTATATGAACTATGTCATTTTGTATATATGTGATTCAAGATAAACTCTAGAACAAAAAGTTTGTGAAAGGCAATCTTCCAGTGTGACGTGTAGTTTAAGAATTCTGTTGAATAAATATAAGATCTGCCACTATGGATCATTGGAATTCTTTCACTTCCAATGAACCTGGATATGGTGATTATAATCGTAGTCTAAGCAACTCGTCTCTGAACCGTTATGGGTCCTCCAATGGCCACTCACCAGGTAGCAACTCTAGCTTTAGTGCATCCAACATTCTTGGCTCCTACGGATCTGCACTTAACTCACCTTCGTCACCCATCGGCCTTCAAAACCCTCTCAGCAACCCTATCTCATCCATGAACAACGTCAGCCCTTATGGTTCCTCAACATCATCTGCTTCCACTATGAACTCTTACAACTCATCTTCTGCCTCTATGAACTCCTTTAATTCTTCCTCTTCTTCGGCTGCCATGAACTCCTTCAACTCTTCTTACAACAGTCAAACTGGACTGTACTCCAGTAATGGATCTAGCAACTCCATGCCTGCTGGTGGTTGTGGTGGTGGAGCTGGTGGCGGTACGTCTTATAACCTCAACAACTGCATGCCACCACCTGCCAACAACTATGCTGGGCATTCCATTCAGCAGGCGCCTAACTCGGTGTCACGCAACCGCTTTGGCAGTAGCTATTACGATCATCAAAGCTCGTACCAAAACTCGCGTGGGGGTCACATGCCTTCTGCTTTCCCCCCTGCACCCCCTCCTAACATGAATCCAACCAACAATGGATATTATGGAGCGTCAGGCGCTCCTACTACTGCTGTTGCCAGTAACATGAGTAATATGTACCAAAATGGAAGGAATTCTACTGGAAATATGTTTCAGCCACCTTCTGGAACTCGACCTGCCTCTCAACCACCGGTCATGTCTCCTCATCTGTCCTCTACAAATTACTACTCTGATAACTCGAGCAGTGCCAATGGCTCCAACAACTCCTTCCCTCCAATCGGTGATTTCAAGATTGGGACTTTCACTCTGGGGGCTAATGGCGTCGTAACTGATAATCCTGAAAGCAGCAATCGGAGTTATTCCAGTGGCGGAAACTCCAACGGCAACAGTGCCTCGGACTCCAACCAAAATGTCAGGGAAACTGGCATTATTGAAAAACTTCTGGTGAGCTGATAGTTTGAATTCTTTAGTAGATAGTTAATGAGTAATTTCACAATTCCTGTCTGTTAGCACATAGTGAGTTAATATTCTCTAACATGATTCAAAAGACTTTCCCATAAAAATGTGTTTTCTGGAACGAGATGCTGTTCCTCCCAACTTAATTTTTTGTACACATTACTGTCGGAATAATTGTGTTCATTAGAGAACTTACCACAGGTCGTTTCCCTAACTTCATCTTGTTATTGTACAGCAAACCTATGGATTCATCCAGTGTTGCGAGCGTCAGGCTCGCCTCTTCTTCCACTTCTCGCAGTTTGAAGGGAACACCGACCATTTGCGCATCGGCGATCCCGTTGAATTTGAAGTCACTTTTGATCGAAGGACTGGTAAACCTATAGCATCCACTGTCCAGAAAATCTCTCCTGAAGTTGTGAGTATATCATGCCGCTTCTTTCTCATTACCGTGATAACTTTTTTCTTTGTTTTTCTTTAGTTCATTTAAGATTTTATTCTTATTCGTGAATGAGCTTGACTTTCAAGTACTGATGATTGATTTATTGATGTCTTTGATTGTCAGTTTTCTCACACGCTTATATGGTAGTAAAGTTTTTGCCTAATATTCACGATGAATGCTGCCTTCAAGCTAGAATCATGATATGTATATTCATATTGTTGGTCTGCTGAAGGATGATTGAATACCATGCACACATTAGCATGTTTGCAGTCTCTTGCATCTTCAGTATCTTATTGTCTAATTTAGTGTTTGGTGTGAACTTCACAGCTAGAAAATTGTAGGTACTCCTACCAAAATACTTGAGCCTCGTTTTAAGATACTACATTAATAAGATGCTTAAGTGCCAAGATAATTAGTTTAAGATACTTTCATAACCAGCAAATGTTCCAAGCTTCCGATTTTAAATACTTGTATAATAATTTTTTAATTTTTTTTAATGCTTATGTTGCAAGGTTCCGAGTTTAAATACTATAATAATTTTTTATTGCTTATGCTGCAAGGTTCTGAGCGAGGAACGAGTTGTTGGAGCCGTCACCACGGAGCTCTACATCGACGCTGGCGGTGGGGAGACGCAGGGGCGCATTAGCTATGAGAACAGAGGAGAATGTTTCTTCCTGCCCTACGGCAAAGATGATGTCGAGGGATACGTCACGCTCAAGTCTGGGGACAAGGTGTCTTTTCAGATAGCCACAAATCAACGGTCAGTAGCCACTTCCTTAACCAACTGTCTTATCAAATTTATTCCAAAGAAATGGAAAAATTTGCAGTAAACATTTTTTAGCTGTTGCATTTTTATACTTTAGTAAAGAACGGAACTTAGTAATTATTCAAGTTATTTGTTAGTAGCGTGGATTTTTCAAAGCTTTTCACAGTGTTTTCTAGGTTGAAGAGGTTTTTTTCTGTATTCTTTTGAATCTATTCAATAGAGATCACTTTTGTCTTACTGTTGAATGTCGCTACTGTTTGATGACCGTATACAGTAGGAGCCTCTTCAGTAACTCAGAAGTCAAGGGTTGTTTCATGATGTCTTGTTGCTTAAAAAAAATGTCTATTTCTTGCTTTTAAATAATGAAGGTCTTGCACTTGCTATTGAATTATGAAGTTCGTATGACTTCAGTACTGGCAACCTTGCTGCTCGTCACGTTCGTTTGGAGGACCCGGTGGCGCCCGTGCGCTACCAAGGGGTCGTTAGTGCCATCAAAGACGCCTATGGCTTCATCGAGCGTGCCGACGTTGTCGACGAAATCTACTTCAACATTTCCGACACTAAACACATCCCTGGAGGCCTCAAGCTAGGGGATGACGTCGATTTCTGTATCGCCATGCACTCTGTGAGTCATTGTGACTTGTTTAAGTTTCTTGCAGTATTTCTGCCGTTAGTAATTGATGACGCTTATTGAAATTAAATGAAAGTTTTAGTTATTAAGTAATCTAAGGTTAACTGTAAGTGCCTTTATGCTGAACGGCAATTGTCATTTGTAGATTCAGGTTGATATCCGAAATAATAAACTTATGACTAATGAGTAATTTTTCTAGTCTTTATTTGATTTAATTTTAATGCGTGATAATGAATAATAGAGGACCATCTACCCATTAGTTGATAGATTCAACCTTGTCTGAAGGTACAAGCTATCTGTCAGATACCCCAACTCCTTTTTAGCTGCTGGACAGTCAATTTCTGATAGCTTAGATTGTTAGTAGCTCTAAGCTGCGGGTGAGAAACGAAAACGGCATCACGTTTCTTCCACTTCATGTGGAGTAATATATTTATTGATGTATTTGTGTCAGGGCAAAGAGGTTGCAACGGACCTGGTCAAGCTGGAGGACGGCAGCGTTGTGTTCGAGGACACGAGCCAGGAGGTGGTCAGGGGGCAGGTACTCAAGACGGTCGAGCGCAGCCCGCGCCACAACCCCAAGGAGCCGCTGCCTGGCCGCATCCGATATCGTGGCCACGACCGTTCTGAGGTAATTAGCTCTTATCCTTGTTCTGGTGGTCAATTGGAGTTCATTTTGTGAAGAGCCTCCGCTTTCACGAGTTGTCAAAGGGGTGAAAGGCAGTTTTTTTGCGTTTTGACCATACGTTGGCACTGTTGGTAATCGTTCAGTCCTTCACGCTGTTCCTAGTAGTAATTTCTTCTCTTGACAGGGCAGTAATTTCCAATCAACAAAATAACCGACAAATTTTTATTATTATATGTGGTGAAATGACACCTAGGAAAATGGACCAGATATTTAAAACCTAAATCTTTCATGGCAGGACAAAATAAGTCGAAACGAGAACGCGTGGCTGGAACAGTTTGGGTTATTTATCTTTTAATGTATTGCGGGAGCAGCGCATCTATGTATTGAGCACCTGCTTGTCGCCGCAACACCTGTGCCTAACAGCGTAGGCTCGCCTTGAACCAGACAACACGTGACTTATGCTTACACACCGTGTACAAATCATCACCGTAAACTGTGTAACAAGTAGCGATGTTATATTTAAAGTGGTTTCTTGGAAAGGTTTCTTTGCAAATGATGTTGGTGCTTAACTTTTGTATTTCATGTTTAACTTGGCTGCATGTAGGTTAAGACGCCAACTACCTACTTAAGAAAGCATGCTGACTCGGTCTCGAGTGTGCCGGTTCAGCTTGCTGACTCAGTCGTGCTTCGTTTGTGGTCGAGCGCTGCCGCATGACGCTGCCGTTTCTCTTCTCATAATCATTTCGTTCAGTTGATAGAAAGCCTGAATTTCCAGAACATAAGAATAAGTTTTCTCAACTTCCATCGAAGAAGACGTCTGTAGAAATAAATCTCGGTGTTAGGATTAAAATTGATAGAAAGGTAGTGTTTGAAAATTAAAGTATTCATTTGCTACCGCTTGTTGTAGAGTCAAATTGATGAATTCTTCCACAAAAAATTTTTCTGCTTAATTAAGCTTCAACGATTTATTTCAATGGCTCCCTTGTGTGCATGTGAATTGTACGTCGTTTTCAGTTTGAGCAAACTACTTTAGACGAATGTTGATCTGTTGATAGGGAAATTTTTCTAAATTACTCTAGCGCAATGCTAATATTTGAGAAAATCCCATTTTGAATTGGATATCATTTCCGTAAATACAATTCGATTATTGGCATTATTTACAAGGTTGCTCTAGCTTTATTTTGCCATCAGCATTGACTTTATCAAGCTTACTCGTTCAGAAAGTATAATTCTTGTAGTGTGGTATCCAAGTGGTTTGGTAACAGTATTATCGTCGAAAAATCGGTTATCTTCGACTTATGCAAATCCTGTTTTTCATGGGATGTGTGTGGTGTGGTATTAGTCAGGAAAACCTGAGGCTCACGCGAGGTCACAAGGTCAAAGTGTTTTGCTACGTCAGCTATACAGGTATCTTCGGCTCATCTCTGCTGGTTATCCCTAGTTCTAGGTCTTGGTATTCATGGCTGTTCACAATTTCGTTTCATTACATCGCTTTATCTATTCTCATTGCATTTGAAGTTTGAACGTTCTTGCGCTGCTACGATAATTTTCGTTTAGACTTCTGTGACTGTCTGTTCATTGAAATTTCTAAGATTTGTGGGCAGTTCAGAGTGAGTTTTCTTCAGCGCGTATAAGAAGTACCTCATTTTATTGAAAGAAATTAGCATCATAGCTGCCCGGTTCTTTGCGCTCTGCTCCAAAAATTTTTTGTTGACAATGAAATCGACATGAACGAGCCAGAATTATTTAGACGCCTCATCCGAGAGGCTGAGGATGCAATGGTGAGATTTGTTTTTGTTTTCTGTGTCAATTTTCGCTATTTTCTATGGGCGTGAAACTTCAAGAGATATTGCAGTACGATGTTGAAGACTATTTAAGATAGTTGAATTTGGGACAGATTTTGCTACCGTATATAATTGTTCAATATGCTTTTCGTGATTAATGTTGCCATTCTGATACACGACAATAATTTCAATATTAATTTGTTTGTTTGTGGGGCCTTAGTTGCTAGTGATTTTAATAGTAAAGTAAAATTTTGTTTATTAGAGTCATTTCAATATTGGACGTTCATCAATTTGTAATCCAACTCAAATAACTTAGAATTGAATTTTTTACCGACTGTGCCACACATTTATATTTTAATTTTCTAGCCGGACTTGTGGAGTTTGTGGGTTGAGTCTAACCGAACTTGTGGGTTGGGTTGAGTTTTAACTTTTGGCACTATAATTATTGTACCATTCTTAGGTTGAAGTGAAGTTTGGCGAGCGCGATCAGAGGGGTGAGTTCACGCTACGTCATGGTGACTGGGTTGAGTTCAACATCGCTACAGACCGACGTGACAGGCTGCAGAAAGCCACCAACATCACCTTACTTGACGACAGGTAAGTTCAGCGCCCCCTCTAACATATTGAGGGAGTCTTTCTGAGAATTTTGGACCCCTCATCCGCTTCGTAAATTTACTGAACTAATCAAAAGCTGCTGAATAGACAACATTGTAGCCGTGGCTAGGGACTTCGTTGAAAAAATGAATTTATTAATGTTGGTTTTTAACTACACTTTTACTGGAATATAGTGATTTTGAACATATGGAGTTATTTTATATAAAGTTCAGATCCAATTCCAGTCGCTTATATTGCTGTCATATAAAATCTCTTAACTAAATTATTCTTGGCTGCAGAAAGACGAAACGAAAGACGTTTGATGCACTCTATAGATTCATCTTATCTCGATACGAAAGGTTTCGTCGATACGCGATCTAATAACCCCTATATGCATGTCACGCTTCAAACTCTCTACTACTCATAAACTCGGGTATGAAATATATTTATTTAAAATTGAATTTATTTTGTTCAGTTTTTTGGTTTCCGGCGAGCGTCGCGAGCATGGCGTGGTGAAGCACCTAAGCGAAGAGTGTGGCTACATCCTGTGCTGCGACCGCGACCTGCTGCTGCACTTCTTCTACAGGGAGCTTCTTGATCCTGCCACTGCCGTGACCATCGGCGACGAACTCGCCTTCACTGTAGCCAACGTTAGTTATTTACTTATACTAATGCTTCCAATTATTTATAATGGATGCTTATTAGCCTATTAGAAATGCCGTTGCATTTCAATCAGCCTATAATGTAGTTGTTGTTGTTAATAAATTAACCTTAAATTGTCAGAACTGTTGGTTGCTATTATTTTATTCTAGCCTTGCTTACAAAGTACGGATGTGTGCTCTACTTGGTGCACTTTCCATTTGATGTTTTTGAGTTTCTGCGTGATAACATGCATTGGAAATGTTTTTATAACTTTTTATGTTCTGAATGAAACTATAGAGATTGCTCTATGATTCCAAATTTTATTTTTGGTAGAACCTTTAATAATAGATTGCTTATCGGTCAAGAAACCAGATATTTCTAACTGTTTGATTTCTAACAGCGGCTCCCTATACTACTGTAAGCTATATGTTTGTTATGTTGCCAAACCAAGTTGGAACTCAATAACAGCCTGAAATGTCAACAGGACAGCACCCTGACGGGTCCCAGGAAGGAGACCGCGACACGCATAGCTCGCCTGCCGCCGGGCACCGTGAGCGAAGGCGTCATGGTGCAGGAGATGCTTCAGGGTCAGGTCTGTAAACTCCTAACTAGCTATCAGGAATGTGAGGTCCTTGAGGAACTGTAACGTGAAGGATCGGTCATTAGAGCGATGTGCTGTAAACATTTGAATCTTTCAACATTCTAGTTCTGGTTCTTCATTTTATGTGGTCAGACATCTCTGTTTGGTACCAAAATAACGTCCTTGTTTCCAAGGCAGATTTTTTTTAATTCTTCCAACTCGATTTTTGTTGCCCTAACAACAGCCAGATAAGCGTTTACTTTTTAAATGTTTTCTAATTAGACTTTGCATAGAAATATACTGAGCGTTTCAAATTCAAAGAAACTGGAAGCTGAAATTCACAAGCTCCCTGTGGATCACTGGGGCATCACACAGCTGTTCATCGTGAACATATACTACCAGTAGCTCAGCCAAATTAATATAATTCCTTGAACGTCAGAAAAAGGCTAACAAAGTGGTCAATAATTTCATAAAGGGGCTGTCACACGACAGGCCCGTAACACTTTATGGCGATTAATGATAAATCTTGAATCAAAATGAATTTCTTTAATGGTTGAGCAGGTGAGCGTGGTTGCAGAGAAGTCCCCGCCACTGGCCCCTCCGAACAGCCCTGGCAGCGTGGTGCCTCCAAAGGAGCTCGTGGGCGAGGTCGCTTACTTCGTTGATGGCGTTCGCCAAATTTTGGGTTACGCGCATCGAGATTCGTATCACAACTTTGCCGTCGGCGATAAAGTGAGCAACCCTGCGCTTTTTGTGTAACAGAACAGATGGCACTAGGTTAAGTCAAATTTTGCAGTGTAGTTCTTCAAACTAGTCTATGTGCCCAACGAAATAACAGCATTGAATCAGAAAATGACGGTATCAATTTACTATTTTATTTTCTTCACGATGGTGAAGATGTTGACAGGCCCTTTCACAAAGAAGTGTGCACCTAGCTAGATTCATGCCTGAGTCCTAGCATAATATCCTTCTAATAGTAAAATATTCTTCTAATATCATATCAATGCAATCAACGAATTATTGCCCACTAAAGAAAATTTAAATTTCAGTATGCCTTATACAATTTCATACAAATAATTCATTTGAACTATATACAAGAAAAGTGTTCTGATCTCACCAACTTGATTCGTTCTGCCATTTACCAAGTCTTATATTAACTAGGTAGATTTTTCTCAAGTCAACCTCGTTAAAATGCACTTCATGATCCTGATTTGACTGTTGATTCGTTTAATTATGTACGTATCTATTTTGATGAGCGCTTCCTAGATTAGTAGGTGCAAGTGTTAAATTATTAGAACAATGTTGCACGATTTGTTATTTATTTGATTATTTCCCTTTTCCAGGTTCGCTTCAACATTCAATTGAGCAAGCGACACAAGAAATTGGTGGCCACAGACTTGGTGCCCATGATCGAAATCAAAGCCGCCTACCAGCCTACAATTACTGAGAGCGCTCCTATGTCTGCTGCTCCTGATGTAACCGTTGAAGAAGCCGCCCAACCACCGACCCCAGTGTCAGCACCTAATGATCAACTGCACGTAACCAACGATGCTGTGAATGACAACACTACTGCTGCACCAGCTGCTAATGGCACGTCACCTAAAGTCGTCACCAAGAAGGCATCGACTGCACAGAAAAACAACAAGCAGCCTCGTCAGTCGTATCAAGGTTACGTTGCAGCTCTCAAAGACTCTTTTGGCTTCATTGAAACTCTTGCACACGACAAAGAAATATTCTTCCACTTCAGGTGAGACTAGACTGAAATTGTGTTGCGCGTTACGATTGTTGGAAAACTTGGAACATGCGTGTCACAAACGAGACAAATTATAGCAAACTTAACTGACTAATAAATCTCGAAACTGAAATGATGAGTTACTGGAACTTTCTGAATGTTTCTAATATGATAACTCAAATCAAAATTAACCTTTAGTTATCAACGCGTTTCATGACGATCCTTCACTGGGCAATTTTAACCCCCAGCGAATCGTTTATTTTTCGGAATTAAGCATTATTCCGTGCATTAAACTACGGTTTTTTTATGAGCAGCAACGTGGAAGGTGGTGAGAATACGAAGCTTGACCTTGGTGACGTGGTCGAGTATAGTTTGTCGTCCCGCCCCGGACCTGGTGGCAAAGTGTCGGCCGAAAACATCGTCCTGCTGCCGAAAGGCTCTTTGCCTCAGCCAAAGGTCAGAAGAAATTTTCTGTTTTGAACAAGTTTTAACTTTTTAATGCTTGCTAATATAAGTGTTACGTGTAATGTAAAATTTACGCTTTAATAGGTATTTTTATATCCATTATCTTTCAGCGGATCATGAAAGAAGCACTGTCAAGAATGTTCATTGAATGCGCTTTTGCTTCCTTTTTCTTGATGTCATGATGCTCGTAACAACGAATCTGGCGGTTTTGTTGAATTTACTTTACTTTAAACCGTCATACTTGAGGTCTTGACAAAGTCCTTTTATGAGGCACGAAAAAATGTTTCAAGTTGGGTTGACACTTATTTGCTGATACTCATTTTCTCGAATTTATCTCCTCTTCATTAAACGAGTCTCGCACATTGGAAACTTTCCGTTCGCGCTTTAAAGAATGAAAGTTGTGTGGTGTTTAGTTTTGTTTCTTGAGAATAAAATTTTCACTGACCCATGTATTAGATTTAAAAGAATATTACTGCACGGTTTTTGTGACGTGTTTTCAAGTTTTTGGTAATAGTTGCATTTTAGCGATATCGCAGCTTCCTGTCCCTATTTTTGACACTTTCCCTGCCATGTTCAGGTGCTGGACCCAGTGTACAATGGCTTCGTGATGCGGCCAATCCGTTCCAACAATCCTGACCAGAGCGAGTACTGTGGACTACTTGCTGTTGACACTGATGGTGAGCATTTATTGCGAGGCCAGTTTGCCTGGACATTTATCCTCTATCTCCCGCAGTTAGATTGATTTGCTGATCCAGATTGAGCTAAGTGTCAACACAATGTAATTGCTTTGCCGCAAATTTGTCGGTATATGGATGCATTTAGAAATCGGTTGGGTAATATTCCTTTCATTATATGCGTATTCTAACTGTAAATGGTTCAATTGCAGTGAAAAACGTCAACTGTATCTAATACCTAATTAGGTGTTGTATGATAGCCTTGATTATTTGCTTCGTTTTGCTCATCAGATGTGGAGCGCAGCGAGCAGTACAAGTTCGGCATAAGCGGTGTGGTACGTAAGCGCGAGCTGCTGCAGAAGGGAGACTCCGTCACGTTCCAGGTGGATGCCACCGGTTGGGCTACCAACATCACCGCCGTGCGAAAGAAGCTTATTGCTACCGTCGACACAGTTAAAGGTTGGTTGCTTGAACTAAATTTTGACGATTATTGCAGAGATGGGCAAAGTGCACCATCACTGTCATGCCTATCAATTGTTCGATGACTTTGTTAGAGACTGTGCTTGTCTTTAATTTACTTGTTTTAAGCTAGAGATATGCTGTCATTTTTATTTATTTTTAATATTCATCTCTTCTGTGAGTGTAAGTTTTAGAATTTAGAAGGATTAGTTGTCTGTTTGTGTGAAATCCTTTTGCGCGTTAGCGTAACTGATCAGAATTTACCTAGCAACCGCTTGTGAGGCTTAATGCTGAATGAATCAAGGTCTAAATTAGCCATTTCAGTGTATTGGGTTAAGTCAGTTATCCGTTGGCATTCCTGTTGTCTTTATTTAATTTTTATCCACCATATTTGACCTTTGAACATCATTTAAAATAAATTTAATAATACATTTTTAATTGGAACAAAGAAACATCATGAGAAGACCATTCGAACAGCAAATGTTTTTTGTTCAACTAATAGTAGGTACCTAATTAGTTACAGGCTAGCGTTAACGCTTAATTTGGTGCTGAGTTTTCAGCTGATTGTGTTGATTTGTCCGTGCTTTTCATAAGAGCTAAAGTAGCTAAAACTATGTAAAAGCTAAAATTGCTTGCACTGTACGATTACTGTGGCAGTTGGATTTGGTAATCTCAGTCTCCTAGAAACAAAATAGTTATTCGATGGTATGAGAGAAACGATAATTTGATATTTGCTGCGGAAAGTAATTGATACATCGACGCGAGCTGCAATGGTGTAGTAGGAAATGTGAATTGAGTGGTGAAACATGGTAGCAAAACCTTCAAATTTTACAAGTGTGTATGAGCCAGCTGAGAAGCCGCGGTATTGACAAGTCACCTGGCATAACTACTCACGTCAACAGGAACATTATTATTAATAGGGTTACAAGCACTGTTCCTAATTATATTGCTGATAAGTTGGCTATTCTATTGTAACTGTGAAGACGTGATACCTTGGCGTTTTAAGTTCAAGTCAATGTGAGTTACACACGTTGGTAATATTGCATTATTGAATGGCGTCTTGCCTCACCTCAGGCCAGTATGGTTTCCTGAACTACGAAGCAGAGGAGGGAAAGAAGCTCTTCTTCCACCAGACTGAAGTAAAGGACAACACTCATCTCAGCCCAGGAGATGAAGTCGAATTCGTTATCATCACCAACCAGAAGACAGGCAAAAGTTCAGCCTGCAACATCTCCCGCATGATGTGAGAAGTCGAGTCGAGTTGTTTGATCAATTTCTATTTATTCATACAATGCCACTCGGTTTATTCCCGAACTAAACTCAAATGTGCTTTTTTCATTTCTGAATCTATTGGTTGACCTAATGTTTGAAGTTAGTTCACTTTTCATGAATTTCCTATCACAGTTCAATACTTGAAATCTTGGCAATTAAATATTTAATTTTTCTCAGTCGCATTCAGCCTTCTTTCATTATTTATATTTATCAGGGATGATGATCAATTTGACCCAGGACATTATTGAACAATTCTCGTACACAAATTTATAATTACGAGTTTCTGATGCAGGACTGTGGGAGGCGGTCTAGCTCGTCGACCTCAACGTCTAATCAGCCAACTGAAGACGATGTCCCTCGATCAAACCAAGCCTCGTATTCAGGTGATGCGCCAACCTAAAGGCCCTGATGGCACAAAGGGATTCTCACTCACTAGGGAACAACTTGCATCAAACTTCGCCGCACTCTCGTTCTAGAATCCCATCACCAAAATCTTAGGGCCGTTTTTTTTGTGTCTGCCCGTTATGAAATCTAACCCTATTGTCATAGCCTCGCTTACGACAATTGCATTTCTTTGTCTCGGAGAACTTCTCCTGTTGTTCCCTGCCGTACGCTATAAACTAAAAGTCATGATGTGGTTTATGGCTTTATGAGATTTCCTCGTTTTTCTTGACGAGTGCAATTAAATCGGGAAAATCTAGAGAAGTACTGTAAAACCTTATTCGATCATTCAGGTGTTGCTACTAATCTTCATGATGGCCGTTCATCACGAATTACGTGTTGTAGAACGCCAGTAGTCGTAGTTTTTTTTCTGAAACTGTAGTACTCGTAGACGATGCGAATTTGTGCTTGCAGATATGATGTTGCCGTAATTGGTCTTTTTTGTCAATATCAATTGAAATAAACTTCCGTTCGCGATTGAGATATTTTCTGAGAGATCTGAAGCCCTGGTGTCCCAGACGTATTTATTGTTTAACACGCCTTTCTCGTAGCGGTTAGTTAAGGAAATAAATTTAGATAGCTCAGTATTCAGGTCAACAATCAAAATAACATGTTGGACTTTTTCCAAATCCTTTAGAGCATCTCTTATCTATTGTTTTTTCCTTGTGGGGTTTCATTTACATTCTATGACGATGGAAAATTTTTGGGAGGAACTGAATCAATCTAATCGCCTTCATTGATCCTTTCATCTTGTAGTTCTGAAATGTTAGTTGCTCACAGAATTCCTGTAGATCCCCCAGTTTAGCTTACCATGGCTAGATCTGTGCCGGTGCTTGTTCTGCAATGTTATAGTTACGCTACCGCCTTTTTCGCGCTTGTCTTGCTGTTGCTTTATTTTATAGTCTTATCAGTGAATAATTTGCTGTTAGTATAACAATTATATGAACAAGGTTAATAAGTTAGCATGTAGAGTTCATGTACTATATCACGCACTGATGGAAGGATGTCATCCTTCTTAAGTGTGGGCCATCGTAACTCCATTCGTTGGGGCTTGGATTCCAACGTTTGCCCTAGTCAAATCTTCATTTATTAAATCGTGCAACTCGAAATTTGATATTTGTATGTGTAGAGACGTGTCAAGCATAATTCCTTTTTCTAATAAAAAATTGCAATTAATGCCGTTGCTGTCAATTTACAGCAGTTGCAATTAAGCAAACCAATATCAGAGGAAGATCGCGTCCAAATTTCTTCCACTAATTGTCTTGAATTATTTCTACCTCAAGAAGTAAACGTTTTTCGAACAGTTTGGCAGTAAACCAAACTGAATTCCAGCTTCGATAGGAGCATCTGATTCAACTTTTCTGCTGTTGTTAGCTAATCGCGTTCCCGTTTTTTTTTGTGAGCGTTAAGCTGTCACCATTTAAAATTGAATTACTGCTAGCGTAAGTTTTTCTTTAAGAACTTTTCTCTGATAAGACACTGTATATATACACTGATAAAGGAGCTTGAACGGTGTTATTTTTGCTGGTCGATAATTATCACGCAAACTGCGTGAGCTATGGTTAAGACTTCTGCCTTCACTCACATCACTTCTAGCATCAGACAGCTGATGTCGCCATCTAATATCGTGGAATAATAGCCCAGTGTTCAGTGGGAGCTCCCTATCAAATCTTCTACTTCAACGCTGATATTTTGGCTTGCTATGATGCGAGTGCGGGCAGTTGTGAATAGACGCGTGGATATCAAGAGAGCAAGCTGGTCTGTGTTGTGTTGTGGATCGATGACATCGCTCCCTCCTTCACTCGAGTCAGCTTTGACTCACGGACGCTTTCTTTCTTGTGAGGCACTGACGTTCTATTGAGTCTTGATCTGTCACCTTGAGCTTATACTCATTGTGTTTACGTGTGTGTTAACTCTCTTCTTAAGTCGTAAGATGTGTTGTTTATAGTATACGTGTCAATCAAAGGGCTTATATGTGTTGAAGAGACAAGGATGAGTGTAACCACCTCAGGCAGATTGGGCCCTCTTAACTTTACCACGTCGCCAAGTCTGCCTGCTGGCGCTATGGCTCGACTTCTCTCTTCGTACCGTGAAGTTATTATCGGTGATTTGTTCCGAATACTGTACAGTTGTTGTTTAGAATAACTAAGTAGTGAGGTGAGCGCGTCGTCGCGTGCGGTTAGTACCTCAACTATAAGGCTGTGTTGTAGTCTGTGATCCCACACGCTGCTCGGAGGGACATGCATTCTTGCTGAATTAACTTCCTTCATTATTGAAACATGACATGGGCTTTTTACCATCATACCGGGTCGCTCACTTGCGAGCTTCATCGTATGGTACAAAGTTTGAAGAATCATTAACATGTTCAACTTTTATTGCATCCATCCAGACCTATCATTTAGTTTCTCAAGAAAGATTTTGGTATCATTGTAGTAATTTTATGTACAAGAATTCATTAATGAATTCGATAATTTTGCTATGTTTTATTCAAATATACCATTATGCCACGCCTGTGTCTGTACGCTGTAAACGAGCCATTTTACAATGCATCTCTATTTTGCACAAAGTCGTGATTATTATTATTTCTTGTAATTGACTGACGCTTTTTCAGGCATTTGAGGTAACGTTCACCTTGGCAACATTCTCGTCGAGTCTCGTGGTACTAAATTACTCTAAATGTGTGACGCTTGTTCGTAGCCAACTATTGTTAGTAGCTTCTTGTGTCGGATATATTTTCATCAGAAATGTATTGAAGCTATCGGAATAATCAAGATGTTAAATCTTAGCTACGAGAATTTCAATCCACATTTCCGATGCTGAGCGAATAATATTCTGAAATGGAGTACACGAAACTTTTCATAACGGTGGTTTGAGCTTTAGCAGCCACCACACTGTCCAGGAACTGACTGTGTCTTCTCTATTGTGCCATCAACTCGTAAGTACTTCACTGCGAGCTAAAGCTTCACGTAAATACCGCGCGTTCAAGTCGAGCCGCTCCTACTCTCTTCAACTCCTGAATCCGAGCAACGAAATCTCACAGCATTGCCAGAAATTTTGCGTGGTTCAAGGCTTCCATTTCTTCCTTAAGACAAGTAATTTTGGGAATGGAATCCTTGAACTGCTTCCTCTGCGCTTTAATTATTCACTTCATTACTCGCTTCCTCTGTGTCAGCCCAAACAACATTTGGGCTTCTAAAACAGCAGGAGTTGCAGGGAGTGCAGAGACCTCGCTTTTCTTTTATCTTGTGTGTTCTACGTGCGTGTGTATGATTGCTATGAGGCGAAGCGGTGTCGCTGATTCTCACCTATGCAACCTGAGATGCTGTATTAGGAAATCGATCGATGGAGAGCGAATGTGTCTTACGCTGCTCGAGTGTAATTGTCCTACCTTGCGTGACAACGTAACGCGCTGTTGATAGCAACAGGCCTGGACCTTGTCACACATGGAGATGATTGCCTCGACCCATATGTGATTTTCATGGGTTTCTTCCATCGCTTATTGACAAAGTTTATCTAAATTTGAATTAATTTTCGGCATTTAAATTCAGTTGGATAATTTAGTGAAGGTATGACGCTTCAACTTCTGCTGTGTTGGCGTGAAACGCATCATTCCGACATCATCCTAGGTATTTATCATGCATGTCTATTGAAAGAAATGCGTCGTTGACATTTGTAAATTCGTTCCTGTTGCATTTGTGAACATGTTCTCTCACACTAATCCTGTGATTGTTCAATGGTTCTGGTGTACGCATCTCCTTGAACATTTCCTTGGAACCAGATGGGCGTGAGCTACTTCTTGTGTAAATTAATAATTTACAATTTTGATGACTAATTTATTTTCACTCATTCAAGTATCAAATTATAGTAGAAATATCGTGTTGCCGGAAGTAAAGTAAATGAAGTAAAGAATCGGAAGTAGAACGGCGCGGGCGTATTATATTGATGCCAGGTAGCCTTATTCAGCGCATATCACAACTCTAGGATAACATATGTGGCATTGTGAATCTTATGAACGAACATCGTGGTGCTCCAACTTGTTGGGAACTCTACCTAGTTGCTTTGTATTTAGATCATTTTCCGTCTATAGTTAGTGCGAGCTAGTTGCTTTATTGTTATTTACTTTTCATGATATGTGAATGGACTTCTGTTTTCATTTTCATTTAGCGATGAAAGGAGCGCAAAATTTGTTTGTTGTTAACGTAATAGATCGGTAAGATGAGAGCTCGTGTGAGGAGTGAGCCAAGGCGGTTGGCATTTGTTCAGACACAATTAGAATAACTTGACACCAAAGGCGTCTTAGTCAAATTAGGCAAGTGAATATGGAAGCCACCTTCTTATTGTAATGTTCAGTATATTGTACAGGGGTATCTATATCGTAATGAACTTTGCTGTAACTTGTGTGGACGATATCTTAGGCAATACGACGATGACTTACTGTACAATGTACTTTTTGTGCAAACTACTGCTGTATAGTCAACTGCATCTAGTTAACCGAGACCCTAAGCTTTCTGTAATTATTCTTAAGTTTCTGAAGTAACGAATACGGCGGACGAAGAAAACCATGAGCAAGTGTGAGCTCGATGGAACGCCTTCGTTGCTTTTAGCGTGACATGGAGGCGTACTCTCTCTGTACGGTTAATTGTAAGCGTAATTAAGCCATTCCTCCTTAATATTTAAGACTCTTGCTTGAGGTCAACGCTTGGCTAACTGTCCAGCAACTTCTTGCGAGTCGTATTTCAAATAAAAATGATAAAATTAAAAAATATAAAAAAAACAGCAACTTGAGTATTTTGTGTCGATTAAGTAGTCTCTGTAGTGGCCTCTTCTTGCCTCTCTTGAGGCCCATTTTTGTAAGAAATACGCAACTTTGAGAAAATCACTAAAAATGTGCAAAACCACGTGTATCTTTCATTTTCCCCGTGATTTGGCTTGGAGCGGTTAAGTTTCATTGTCGGCATACTACGAGCGCTGTTCGAGTTATGAATTGCGTAGCCATAACACGGCAAGTTGAATAATCCCCAATCAGGAGATGAAGTCATCCCTCAGGAGGGCGGAGTAGACTTTCTCTCCCGTCCAAGGGAACGCAGCGCTCCCTGGGCTCCCAAGCTTTTCGCTCTGTCCGATTTGAGCAGAATATGTAGTTTCCTGAATGTATGGATTTTGTCGAGAGGATTCTGAATTTAAACGATGAAATGTGTCTCGTAGAGATTATGAATCCATTCGATTGGCCCTCAAGAACTGAGATAATGTTGTTCGTTTACTTAGTTTCTACTCTTCAATTAATATGTATATTAGGTCAGTAATTAGAGTATTTTAGCCAAGTAATGCTGTTGACACTTGCAGCTAGCAATCTCCACTTACTGAAATACCAAACGCGTGCAGTGAAGTCCATGCATAATCTTGCGAAGCTTATTGTTGATCACAGATTTTTATGCTTAGTAGTGTTAGTCCTTTCGGTTCAGGTCATTTCTTTTAGAAATTTCTCCACAGGATCAACTGAACGACTGAAATTCGAAATTTTTATTTTGCACCCTTGTAATCGAGATGAGTGAAGGTGCGCGAGTATATTAATGTAACTTAGTTATTATCGCGGGCATACTAACGATGACGTTACCATGACTCGTAGCAAGCTTCAGAAAGAAGTGCTGGCGCTCTACAAACAGTGCTTGAGGGCCGCTAGGTCAAAACCGGGATTCACTGAAAACGTTCGTTTCGAGTTCAAGAAAGAAGCCTGCATCGAGAGAACAGATGTATTGAGAATAGAGTATTTGTTGAGACATGGCAAGAGAAAACTTGCTATGATGAAAGACCCTCATGTTACGAACATGGGACGCTTCGAGAAGTGAACATCAGTTGTGCGGCCTGAATTCCAGTCCTCAGGAACATAATCAATTTTAGACGCTTTACCATCGAAGTCCTAAACTAAACTCATCATTACAAGGTCATAGCGTGTAAGAAACCACCGAGTCAATCCTAACTGCCTACTATCAAAATAACTCGAATACCGTGTGAAACAGCCCAATATTATTAGTTTGACCTGCAAGTGGACGGTAGTATGGTCCATTGTGATGGCGGAGACACCCCGAGCGGCCATGCGCGTGTTGCGTGTCACCGGCGCTGTGGAGTACATGCGTGCGTGGGAGGTGCAGCAGAGGCTCGCTCAGCTGCTCGCCGCGGCCGCCAGCGCTGGCCAGCGTCCTGTCCATTCCGTGATCCTCCTCCAGCATTCACCAGGTGCGGCATAAGCCGTTGATATTGCGTTTCGTAGGTGAAACTTGAGCTTTTACTAGGTCTGTTTTACTAGTTGCCAATTCCATGTAGTTTCTAGTACCTAATGATTTCTTATTATTTATTCATAAAATTGTGTACTGTGTAGGATACCTACTAAGATGCCGTTAGTTTAAGTGTGTGATGCCACCTAAAATCATTTTTTTATTTTTAAAATCGTGACTTGCAATGGGAATCTTGTGTAATTAGATTTTTTATATCGGAGAATTCTGTGTTACTTCAACATTACGAAAAGTATATAGTATGTTCGGCACCGTAAAAATGTACCTTATTGTCTTCCTATATGCTACAAAAGGTATTTTTTACCGTGCAGTTTACACCGTGGGTCTGCGGTCTGCCGCGTACAGCAAAGAAGAAGAAGCGCGGCTGCGTAGCACGGGTGCGCAATTCGTGCGCAGCAACCGCGGCGGCTTGATTACATTTCACGGACCCGGCCAGCTCACCGTGTATCCTATTCTTCATCTGCCTCATATGCAGCGCTCAATTAAATGGTTAGCACACACCAGAAAACTGAGGTTTCAATGCTTTCATCAATCCGTGCTTGCCATCAATGTTGAGACGTAGGATGCTGAGGTTTTGATGATGGATTGGCGATGTGTTGGCTTGTGGTCGAGCGGGAGAGACTGGGCGAGGCGGAGAGGGAGGCCCAGGCAAGGGGCCTAGTGGCAGCGGATGAGCCGGGGGGCGCACCGGCGAGTGGAGGACCGGTGTACTCGGGTGGATTTGCGGCGCGGATGTGTTGGCCAATGGGAGGCACAACGAGCAAAACCAGTGGCTGGTATAATGTCTAATGTTGGAAGCGGTGTGCACTTAAGTTTGAAACAGCGTCTGCAATTGTTGCACAGGACAGACCCCCACTCGAGAAAATTTTGAACGCGTAGTGCAGGTGGGGCATAAGGTGATGGGGTCCGGGTTTGGCTCGATGTCGCCACCGAGCAGGAGGAGAAAGTACAGGGACCTGGCATCCGGGTCTCTAAGCCCCCATAAAAAAACCGCTGATCCATGCCAACCGGGTAGCACATCCCAGGACGCAGCACTCTGGGGAGCCATCTCCCCACGGCTCCCCATTGAGGTTGAAGTTGGGGCAATTTGTCCCTCCCAGAGGGGTCTCTCCACGACGTAGACGCTTCCCTAATAGCGAGTGTAGCTGAAGTACTTCACCGTACTGTTGTGAGCATCATTTATAAAACTCGTGCTGAAGTATAAATAACCCCCTTAAAATGAAGAAAAATTATGTAGATATGTCGAGTTTATGTGGAGCACGTATTTACCACGTTCTGCAATAATCCATGTATGGTAAACACAAAAGAGTTTCGTAGTATTCTGTTTTGATAGTTTGAACTTGTTTACTTAATACTGTTCTCTGTACAGAATTTATTTATTTCTGCACATTTTGCATCGATGCTAAATACGATCCGCCAGCATTACAAGTACCTGCATCATTTTTGCACTAAATTATTCTCATTAGGAGGGATTAATTGATCTGAATTAATAATTAATTACATTAATTGATCTGAAACGGCCATTGAGTTTCCGTATATTTTCAATCGTAGAATCCCTTGCACTTGAAAGCTAGACCTGTCGATTCTCTGAACTACCTATCGAAGATGTCAAGCATGTTCAGCTCGCAGACGACTCACCCGTTCTTCAAAAATTGTTGACACATTGTGCATTTAGCTTTAGGTTTTTTAATGAAACCTTCTTGTACTGCTGGGCAGGTACGTGTGTGCACTGGAGCGAACTGTGATCCGAACTTGCCGGACGTTCGGCATATCCGCCTTCACTACTCCCGACACCGGCGTCTGGGTGAGCGACTCCGCCAAGATATGTGCTCTCGGTGAGACATTTGAGTGAAATTTTAATCATCTTGCTGTTTTAAGCGACCTGTTCTGGTTTTAACTTTTTTTCTTTTATTAAAATGTAATGTGTGTTAAGAAGAAATTTAAAAACAAAGAGAACGCCAAGGAAATTCGCCATATCCATATTGAAAACGTTTAGGAGTCCAGCTCTATAATCAGTTCAAAAATCTAGAAAAAAATAATAACAATCATTATAATTCACACTCCAAAGCCAGACATTGAAACCCAAAATTTACAAATAATACAAATAATAGACTGTAAATCAACCCTAAGATCGAAAACAAAACGCTCGTTCAGCATTAGAAAATAAACACTAGAAAATAAATGCCTAGCGATTGACCATTTCAAGAGGATAAGAACTGTGTGCATTATTGAGACATTTCAAATTCCTTATTAACTTTCGTTTAAGTAGACTAGGGATACAAGTAATATACGTTATATTCTATAGAATTTTCTCAATAATTTCCTTCTTTTCATCCCACAATGAGGCATCCACGGACGCCGCGTCACCACTCACGGCTTGGCTCTGAATTGCAATACCGACCTGACGTGGTTCACAAAAATCGTCCCATGCGGTCTCACGGGGAAGACCGTCACGTCCATGTCACACGAGCTCGGCAGGGACGTGACGGTTAATGAAGTCGAGACGCCCTTTCTGCGCGCCTTCAGTGAGGTTTTCGAGTGCAATTTTGTCGAAGAAAAGACCTACACCGCTCAACAGTTTGAGAAACTTGCTGACGAATGTGACATCAACAACCAAGAGGATGGCAGCCAATAAGCCCGGGCTATTTACCCTTAACCGCATGCGAGTTACAAGCAACGATTTAAATAGAATGAATATGGATTCAGAACTTCATTTAAAAGTCCGATATTGCCTTGACCTGTACAGAAATTACAATACTGTGCATGGAAATAAAAAAGGAATTTGCAAGTTTTTCATTGGTCGCAATTCACGAGTAACAGATATGGCTGAGTTTCTATCATACGATTTTCTCAAAAGTTATGTGAAAAGAACGGAGCATAACTATGAACTTCGGCTTAAATGAGAAGTATGTCGTATAATCGAATTATATAAATAGATAACTTCCAAATTTCTATTAATAGGATTCTACTTATAAGAAAAAATCTGTAAATATTGTTTATGGAAAATAAAATGATTTACTATCAATTTAAATTTCCCATTATATTTATTTTCATATTGAACGTAGGGAATGTAGAATCGATGCACAGAATTGCACACAAAAATTCAAGAAACTTACAGCCAGTTAATAGTTGGTCGTAATTATTTGAAGTTAACAATGTAAGAGTGAAGCTGAACAAGCTTCTTTATGAGTAGTATTTGACGAGATGGAGAAAATTTCAGAGAATAATGAAGAACAAAGTATGAGGATTACAGTAGAATAAAAATAAGCTTCATTTTTTCCATGAGGAATCTGATCAATTTAAGCAGCATAATTCAAGTAAGAGATGAATTTGGGAAGATGTGCCTTTTTGCCTTGAAGATTACAGCATATATTAAAATGGCTCATTTATTGGCGAGGCTCGAAAGAGAGCCAGGTGATTACAAAATTAGTAGATTGGATGAAATCAGATTTGGAATCCTCTGTCATGTGGAGGTACGCATATATTGCACAGACGAAGAAAATTTGTAGCCATTACAATTCTCTGATTGTATTCGTAAGGTAATATACGAATTACGAGGACTGAAAAATAGTTAGGACCTGGTAGGTGAACAATGACACATTTAACAAAGATTTTTCGCGAAAAATTATTTTCAACCAACGCTCTAGTTCATCATTCATAACACACGTTTAAATTAAACTCCGAAGTATGAGACTCGTTCGACTGCGTTGTTCCAGAAGCGTCGGTTTGCGTTCACGTTCGTATCTGAAATTTGCCGGCCTTGGTAGCGTACTTTACGCCTTTGAACGGCTTGTATTTCTCGCCGTAAATGTCCAGTCTATTGACTTTGATTCCCGATACTGCCAGCTGACTTATAGTGAATTGAACCTGCACAAAAAGAAAGTAATCCAGAACGGAGTTTCCGATTGAGATTTACACATGATTTGTAAAACAACAAAATTCTCAATCATAAATTGTATACTGATAAAGCCTCTTTCAAATATTTATCAACCAAATAACTATTGATTTGTAGCATGAAACTGCCTTACAATGAAGGGGCGATAGCACTCGCCATCGCATGAATACCGTAACACTTTGATTTTCAAGTAAAACTGAACTTACACTAATGGTCGGACTGCTCTCAGGCGGGGGCGCTCCGCTCAGCAGACTCAACTGTTGGAAAAATAAACACTTTAATTTTATTTGCAACAAAAATTAAAATCGACACTACTGTAGAGAACACGATGCACATTAACAAATTCAGCAGTACGAGGTACTAGGGCGAAATTGATAAAAATAAAGTTAAAACATTTGTGAAAATACCTTAAATGTATTAATACATAATAAAACTTCGCATTTCTATGGATTTTAGTGTGATACGAATGCCAAAGTTAAATGTGAAGTTCGTCTGCGAGTCTAGTACTAGCAAGGCACTGACGTTGCCGCGAATGTTGGGCAGCCTGCTGGGGTCGACTCTGCCCACGTCCCACATGAGGACGCGCGTCACGGGGTCGAACGAGTACTTGCCCTGCGTTGCCGTCAGGTTACAGCTCACCACGCTCTTCGACATCGGCAGTTCCAGCTTCACATTCTCGATCTGAAACAAAGGTTTGCATTTGCCGGTATTTGCTATAAAATAACTTTATGATTGTTCGCATTTACGCGTATATACTTCAAAATAATTATTATTTTCATCACAATTGACGGCACGTACCTATAGCACCTGCGGCTGGACAATAATACAGGTTGTAAACCGCAGGTCATCATTGTAAAGGTCACTTTAATAACTTTAAACATTCCAAGATGACATTACAGGTCATCATTATAAATAATAATACAGGTTGTAACGATTCTCGTACATCATCGCAAGTTTTTTCGATGTCTTTCTATGGTTTTAAATAAGTTTCGTAAAATTTTTACCAATAAATGGCAGCATATGTATGCGATTTGTACTATAATTGCACCTTAACAAAGTCAGAAGGATAATAGAAATGTGCAAAATTCAGACAATACAGATAAAAAGTAAGGATACTAGAAACTTAGTAATAAAGGCACACTACCTGCAACTTAATACTGACTCGAAACTTAATAACTGACGCTAAAAGATAGTACAAACAAAAATAATTCTCAGCACAGCCATATTAGCTTCTGTAAGGCAAAACTATTGGCTAAATGGATCCACTTCCACAGCTTCCACATTGGCTAAATGGATCCACTGCGCTTTAGTAGACAAAGCAGCGTAGCCATCCAAACTTGGATTCCGCTCAAAATGATACAATACTCCTGGATTTTCACGGCAGCAACAATTTCACCAAGACAATGATCGCTTGAAATTTAAACAATTTAACACCAAGCTGTGATTAGCAAACTAAGTCGATGATGAGACTGGGCAGCCAGTTCAAGTTTCCTGACATTTACTCATGACTTTTTATAGCAACAAAAAATTTCATAATTTAGCGCTGATATGCTAGAGCAAGAAGCATAGCCAAGAAGCCCTAGCAAGGACATCAGTTTACCTTCGGCGTTTTAGTAGCTCCATTGACACTTCTCGTCTGGAATAAGTGGTAACACGAAAGATATATAGCAATGGTTGACCAACTGTTATTTTTGTAGTTACGTAAAAAGTGGGAGAGTCAAAAGTCATATATATTATTCAAATGATTAGCTGATCAGGTAAAATACACGAAATATTTCAACTACTCCGAAATAATTATTCCAGTTGAAACAGCTAATCACAAAACTTTTAATTAACAATATAATTGGACGAAGTTGAAAAAGTCAAATGTTAGTATTTGTCATAATTTTATAAATAAATCGGTAGAGGAAAAAATTTCAAACTGAGGTTTTTTCATTCTATTTTTCTCAAGACTTAGAAGATTATTATACCGTGAATACGTCTTATGAATTGATAAGGTTCAAAACCAGCGAATAAACGTGGAGAAATGACTTTGGTGACTCACTGTTCTGCCCATGGTTTGGCGAGGACCAATAGTGATGTCCATCTTCCCAGCGGCCGTATCCCTGAAGGAGATGTTGTGTCTCACGTAGACGGGCAGTGCAACGACGGACTGAGACGATATGTGGTACGTGAGCAGACGGAAGTTACCGTCAGGAGGCACGAACGATAGCACACGCTCGTCCTGCACACAGGCAAGATGTTAAACACCCAAGTATCAACGAGACATTGTTGTAAAACATTTATTTGTAAACGTTTTCAGTGAACTGGCTTTTGGATGAAGGTCCCTAATTTTTAACAAGTTACCTTTCCCTTGAAATCACGTTAAACGAAAAGTAACAATGTTGGATTGAATGAACATTGTATTTATCGATATTAATATAGAATGTCTAGCATTTTGCACTTTTTTAATCGTTCCCAAAAACTAGTTGAGATGATAACAGATACATAGATGTTCAATGAGTATTCCCTTGGCTTTGTACCCATGAAAATCAAATTTTTACTGAAATGGATCTTGTTCATGTTAAAGATAAACTTGCTAGCCTTCACTACAGTAGAGTAGTCTAAACATTATTTTCTTCTAAGTTAATAAATACATTGAAGACTTGATCCCATTCTCTTGCAGTTTGAACATGGCACCCTAGTTTACCCTACGATCAACACTAAAATTAAAATATTGTTAAATTAAAGAAAGGGATTAAAGGATATATAATTGAAGAAAAAGTGAGAACAACCGTGACAAAAGTTATCTTAAGTGGCCCACCTCCCAGCGACGCAAGCGGACACAAGGATGGAAGGAGACGTCGTCTAGCAGGCGAGGGTTGGTGAAGCTCAGTGTGAGGTCTGGCATGCCACTCAAGCGGGCCCAGCAGTCCACCTGCGACACAGAGACTACATTACACAGATTACAAGAAAATGTTCTTACTTAGTTAGTTACTACATCAAAAACATGAACACACTATCCAGTTTTCAAAATAACAAATCAGGCAGTTTTATATTACCTCATCAAACAACAATGATAATAAAATTATCTTTCCTAGCAGGCTAAAATCAATTTTGGAACGAAATTAATTTCTTGTTAATGAATGAGATCTGTACCACTGATTTGTTTATTGCTGCGTAGTATCTTTGACTAATTCAGACCATCGTAATCGTAATCATCGTAGACCATTGTAATCGTAAGCACTGTGAGACAGTAAAGCAACAAATGTATAAACCTCACATAGCCTTGTATCTCAGAAGTGACAGTGGCCCCTGACTTGTCGATGATGGCGTCGACCTCCTCAGTGAGGTCCAGCAAGATATCATTCGTCGTGTATTTAACGCCTGCACGACGCCAAGGTACGTTGCTCAGCTGGCTGCTTGGCAGTGTCACGCTCATGCTGGCGTAAGATATACAGAGAATTAGGAAATTTATGAAGGAATACACTTTTCAATGTTACTTAAATATGCCAGGTGTTTAACAATACATGGGTGATCGTGGAGAAAAGGTTGCAATGCCTTGACAGGAATTTATTTTAAATATAATCCCAGGAGAGCTTCAAATTCAGAAAAATGTCCTATTAGTGTTAGTTTCCTTCTCAATAATGAGCAAAGCTACTTCCAACTAGCTATTATACTTGTTCATCAGGTGAACTGTATAAAGTCAACATTATTCAGATATTAGGCGGAAAAATATATTTCAATAATCTTGATTTTAATTCCTATTGAACTTTACAATAAAAGAATATAAAATAGTGTTAATATAGAACATGAGCCTACATTGACCTAGAGTATGTAAATACTTAAATGAGTTCAAAAATACCATACAAGGCATAACATGGAAAATATATTAAACAAGCATTTAGCAACAACAATACAATAACTGGCCTACAATAGAACAATATTGTTACACAAATAGTATAACTAAGATAGTAAAGTCACACTGCAAAACTAAAAAGCATTAAATTTAAATGAAATGAATCAGTCAGCAGTTGCTTTGATCAATCACAAGTTGAATAGCCATAATACATAATTACATGTACAGTACATATATATATCAAAAGCGATTCTAGGAACTTCTCCCATAAGATCTTATATACAACAGAAACCAGAACAAATACACAATTATATTTTTACCTGCAATCCCTTTATTAATATGAAAACAATAAAATAAAACAATGAGCTTTTATGACAATCTTTCTTCTGATGCCAATTGTGTCTAATTCATTTTTCATAAAAAATTTGGGAATTCATTAAGATATTTAAATTCAACAGGATTGTAGAATGGACTTAAAAATGATTTTTTAGGAAAAAATTAGGTTATATCAAAATAATTTAGAAACAAGAAAAAATTCATATGTAGAACATCATCACCAGAAGGGTGCAGAAAACGTACTTAGTTTTTCCAGTGACTGTGTTTGCAATGCTGCGTAGGATATTGGGTGGCTTAATCAGCTCCTTGAGAACATTGCTCTCTGTAGCCAATGGGAAGCCATTGTCAAGTAATTCATCCAGGAGCTGTAAAAATTAGGATAATTGAAAAAAATACACAAGTAAAATTTTAGAGTTTATGAGCACTTTTGTATCTATGAACATTTTACAAAAAAAAAAATTAAAAGCCAATACTTTTTTACTGAAAATTATTTGGTCAAAAATCCCTCCATAGTATTGCAAAAAAAAATAGAGTATATCTACTACTCACTTCATACACAACAACATAATGCTCCTTGATGGTAGCCTCTGTACATTCTCCAAAGTAATCAACAAATATGTCAACTGCTCGATGTAGAAACTCAATGACAAACAGCGGAGGAACTGAAACACAATTTTTAGAATTACATGATGGAAAAGATCTGTTTCTATGTGTGATCTTCAACAGCTGTAGCAACATGTTCATGAAATAAGAGCTTTGAGACATCAAGCACAAAATTCATAATTACTTCATTTAAGGCGATGCTCCATCAGACACATCCATCAATAAGCATCTTTAACATCTTAGAAATTAAATAAGGAGATCCTAAATGAAGTTAAAAAAATCTAAAAGTATACTTACTCAATTGAATTTGTCTTCAATGAATTTTAGCAATTAAATTCAAATTACTTCTATTTTCAACCTAAAAATAACATTGTAAAATTGGGTTATTAAGTTATGAACATGATTATATGCAGTTATGATTATGAATGCATTAAAAAATACCATTCTTGAGTTAATATTAAACAATACATATTTGTTAGAGCTATGAGCATGTTTTTTCATTAAAAATATTAGTTTTATCAGTAAAAAACATATTTACTTTCAAATTCAATACCTATTTCAGTATTTTAGTACATAGAAAATACCTAAGATTGAAGATAAGTACATTCAACATAGCCTAATTTGAGATGTTTGATAATGATTTTTAATACCAATTGATTTTATTTATTGTAAATAAATAATGATATTGATGGAATTGATATTCACCTTCAGTTAGGCATACAGCCACATAGAAGACACTGTTTCTAAGCACTGAAATGAGATAGTGGTGCGGTGTTGTGATGACTGGAGGAATATCTTCACTGCAGTTGGCTTTCCTCTGAGCATCAAAGAAGTAATCACAAACACAGCGAGGTATGACGCTTTTCCAATGTTTCTCCATGAATACATCTCTGCAATAAAAAATTCAAACATAATATCACAAACTTCATACTCCTACTAGTGATACTACTAGCACTAGGTACCTACAGTCTACAGACAGTAACTAGTACCTATGTGCCCTTCTTTCAGCTTCTGAAATAATGGATTGCCGAATATTTCGGATAAATATTGTAAAAATTAAACAAAAAAATTGAAACAAATATAAATATTGGCCACTATAGGAAAAAGGCACAAAAATTTTCATAGATGGATATATCTATTGGTTAAAAAACAAGTCATGTGACATTCATTCCAGCCGAAGAGACTAGCTACAAACTCAACCAAGCTGTTACCTAGAAAAACGTATCGATGTAACCTAGGCCTAATAGTAATACCTATAGTCGAGAAGATACATTTTTGAGACAATCGACTCACCCAGATGTGTTTATGATGAAAAGACTGTGGATCATTTTGTTCTCAGTTGAAGTTATTAATCAATATAACAAATTAAAATGCCAGCATAACAGAAAAATCAGCGACCCGATGCTGATTGCTGCGCTGCGCTCCGAATTGCTGACACTTGTCAGGCAGTCAGAGTTGAACGCAGGGTAACATCATGAAAAAATACCCCAAAATTTACGCAGCCCAATTTCGTTTATAAGTATGGCTAAGCGATTTTTGACAAATTCATGAAATTTCTTCACACATTTATCTCCATTTGTCATTGCAAGAGTTTAACGTAGCTTAGTTGCTGTCAAAATGCGTCCGAAGCCTTCTTCGAATTCAATGACCAGATATTACAAAGTAACAAACAGCTGACGTCTGTAATCAGCTGACTCTCTTTGGTTCTTGTCTGTTTCTAGGCACTGCAGTAAGAACCCTACAGGCTCAGGCAAGGCGGGTGGTAAACGACTTAGTCCTCATAGAACGGATCCGAAGAAGAACCCTGCCGGTGGCAAAGGCGGGGCGTGAGCAGTAAGCCAGTAACTTGTTTTGATTATATTCGGCAGACTTGCCGAATGTGATCATACTGCCAGAGGATCAATTTTAAACGAAAACCATGCCCGAAGCAATTTTTTTTAGACTGCTACCTAGCTAGCCTAAACTCATGTAGCCGATGTAGGTAACATGTCTTGTTGTGCCTGCAAGGTACACTGGTACAGTGCTTGTAATTGTACCAACAGTACGAGTACGGCGTACGTGCAACCTACAAGTAAACAGCTTCATGTAACAATGTCCTTGTAACAGTGAAATCATCCTGATTCCTGATCAGCTAAATATATGCAATAAACTAGCAGCCTAGCCCTTAGGCTGACTAGCACTTGACTAAGTAAGTTATTAGGTAAATAAAATAAAGTGGACTAAGAGGCTAGAGAATTGAGTACTAGTACTACTGCACTAACAGACAGACTAACTGCAGTACTGCATCACTGAACGGTGAACCGCTTATTGCCGTTGCACCTCAGTGACCTCACTCCTGTGCCTTGGAGGCTTGGACTAAGAAATGTAATTTTTTTACTTCTGCCATTGCTATGCAACTACAGGCAGAACTCTGAAATTTGGAGAGAATTTTCCAAAAACTGTTAGCTTGATTTTATATTATATTTTAAAAACTGCCTAAAAGATATCATAGTTTTTTTTAGCATAATGTGGCACCCTTCGCAAATTCTGGCCAAAGAAATAGACAATGCAAATTTTTCTAAAAATAAGATGGCATTGTCATAATTCAATTTTTTTGTTTATTTCCAAGCACAAGCTGTGCAAATTTGGCTACCAGTTGGACTAGACATTACAAACTAAATGTATTCCCACACACTTAAATGACAACTGCCCGTCTGCCCATTTTGGTTGGTTTGTTGTGGTTCATGTGTTGTTTTTGCACATACCTACAAATAGTACTAAAGTTAAAGAGATTTGGTATATTTAAAAAATATATTTATATCATGACCAATTGACTATCAACTTTGATTATGACTTTTCTGTGGCAGTGAGGCTCTGAGCTATCTAACTATGGCCTGGCGGGTCTGTGGCTCAGTGTGGCATGGCATATGCCACAGAATTTGGCAACATGGTTGCCAAACTGTATTACTGTAAGAAAACAATATTTTTCTGAAATATTGTACTTTAGAAATGTGTAATTTCTAGAAGAGTATGAATTTGTGAAAGATCTTGATCCTAAATTGGCATCCATGACCAATCACTAACTATGGATCAATTGATCAACACTGGCATCACTGGGCATTACTTCAGCTTATTTTGATTGCTAATTTGCTTGTATCTTCAGCTGCAGGCCTGCTGCAATCATAATACGCATATGTCTGTTCCTATCACAGCCATTCATAGGGCATTGACCTCTCAACCTCTCAGGCAAGCATTAGCTTAAAATATATCTACTTTGACTCACTAAGGTTGAGCTGCAAGGATGCAAGTCTGCAACTAGGGATTTCTTGTCAATTTTTGAGCTTCAAGATCCTTGCAAGTGCTCCTAAGTGACATTTTTAATACATTTGGAATCTTGTGGCCCATTTGCATACTTTCATTAACAATTAAGTACGAGATAATACATCAAGCACTGGATTGCAAATATATAAAAAAATTGGTCACTTTGTGGAGACCAGGCTATGTGATTTCATAACTAGTAATATATCAATCTAGATCAAGCAAGAATCAAGCAGCACCAAAAATGGTGAGATAGCTCTAGGTGCAGCTTGGATAGTAGTTATACTAATCCATGCCTGTATACTGTGTGTGATTGAGCTACTATTAATTCTAAATTTATAATAAAATATGTCATTTGGAAATTATAAGCTGGCAAGTTTTAGTAATGAGTAGGGATTTAATTATCTTGCCTGTAAAGTATATATACTCATCATGGATACTATTATTATTGTTTGAGATATTGAATGATCTCTTGAAAATTACAATAGATTTGGGAATTGAAAATAAAGAGCAATATAAATGGCTTTCATTTCATTTATAACTAGATTTGGTTTTGATTGGAAATCTTGTGAGCCATGAATATTCAATTCAAATTAAATTTTTGTTATGTATTTCAATATAATGCTAACAGCAGCATTTCTGCCCCAGAGTATTTTTGTTTACCTAGTTGCAACTATACTTACTGTCATGCAAGACAATTTACTTACCGCAATGATACTTATGCTTGATCTGACAATTATTAAACTTTGATTCATGAATTTTATGTGACTATGGATGGCCTAACCAGCTGCTGCAGCAACTCAATATCTTAGCAACCCTTGCATAATTGATGGGAGTGTCTTGTGTGTTATCGATGGTAGGTAGTGTATTGTTGTGGGTCATTTTGACTTCATTACAAATATTCATTTGCCTAATATTTAATAATATTATAGAATGCATTTCTCATTGTACCTGATTTTAATTGCAAATTTCTTTTCCAGTTACAGTCTAAATAATCCCCATTCTCTTTTGTAAAAGCCAATGATTTCTCAACCTCATAGAATGCATGTCAATGGCCATGCTCATGTCCAGCTGATGCCAGCTCAGGACTCACTTGGTCATTCTTCAGAGCTATGTCACCTGCAACCAGCCCAGGAGTCACTTGATGCTTCATCAGAGCTGCGGCATCTGCCAGCTCATCTAAAAGCTAAACTTGGTCAGTTGGTGGATAGCCAACCTGGATTGTGGCAGTCTGTGATGGCTGATATTCCTAAAACTCCTCCATGGACTCCAGGGATGCCTTTACCTGATGCTGGTGTGCTCTATGATAAGAAATATTCAGATCAAGATATCAGGTAATTTCCATTAATACTTTATAGGTACTTTACTTACTTTTACTTTATATACTTTTTACTTTTACTTTATACTTTTACTCTTTAATACTTTGAAAACAATAGCAATTTTTTGATGAAAGTTCTGAAGATTATGATTGTTTTTATTCAAGAACTTTCTCTGCTTGATGATTGCTGTGTAGATATATTATGCATGTTGAACTATTTAAAAAGTCAGCTTTGACTCCACTAACATTTATTCCTCCACTTCTTTTGCTTTGAATGTTGATAATTAATTAGATATGAACCTATATAAATAAAAATTTTATTAGATTAAAAATGGTTTCAAGTAGGTTTATGTAATCCTAGACTCTGAAAACAACACATGGCAATAGTAAGAGGAAAAAAACGACTAATTAAAAAAATAATCCATGTATTACCAGGTCCCTCAACTCATTCAATACCTAGTCCTTCAGGACTTTTTATGATGCAACGAAATAAAAAAGAAACCACCAGATATTTCCTTCACATCAAAGTATGTTTTGCATTTTTTGCACTTCAGTACCTATTAATTCTTGGATGCTCATTTGTTATTTTTGTCACTTCATAGTTGGAGAAATATACTACTTCACATAAATTATTTAAGAATTTAATGTTAGCCCAACCAAAACTGTAACTTTAACATCAATTTCAACTTTGCTGTTAATTTAATTAGCAAACAGATTTTCTCAAAATGAATTAATTATATAAAGAACTCACATTATTCTTGAAAAAAGATATTTTTTATGTTAATTATATGAAGACACAGCATGCAATTTGAGACTGTGACTTCACATTTGATGTTATTTTTGCCATAAATAAACTCAAAAATCCATAAAACCAGCTTTAAAGATATTAGTTGTTATAAAAAGCTTACAGTCTAGTCAAGTGTGTGACTATGTAGGTATATATTTTATCATATAACCAGTTGATAATTTAGGTCCTTTTTAAATAGACTCAAATCTTAATAAACTTGATAGAAGAAGGCTGGTAAAGAAGAAAGAATATCACACCCTCAAGGAACATATTATTTTTAAATGCAAAATTTTTACAGGCAAATTTTTCTATAGCACACTGGTTTTTGCACATGTACTTTTTTCAATTTTGAATAATTCAGCTTCCTAAATAAAAACTAGTGGTGTGACAAGCCTGTAAATTTGTGAGTATATACATTATACACTAGTAGTACTTGTTAAGTTTGGTACAAATTCCACAGTGCTAAGTTCAATTCTTTGAAAGATATGGGAAATGAACTAAAAAAATGTTTTCCTTAGAGGCTGAGGGTATATAATTTGTATATATATTCTTGTGCTAAACATTTTCTAAAAATCATTCTAAATATAATGATGCACACTCACACATCAAAAAGCAAGAATTTTATCAAATAAAACTTTTCCATTTTTACAGTAATTGTATATGACTATGCGTAGATTTGGATTCTGAATTGGCTGAAGTTAAAATTAAGGTGGTCGTGCGGCAAAGGCATGCACCAGCAGTGGCTACACTCGACATACAAAATCTATCACGTCACTAACGCGATCCAAAACGTCGGGTCTCATTTTTGTGGTTAGATTTTAATTTTTTTAGAACTATATATATTATTTGATATTTTGAATGATAGATGATGAAAAAAGTTTATTTTATGCCTAATTTTCTTTTGGTCAACAATGGCAAGCAAAGCAATTTTTTATAAAAATATTTCGTGATTCCTTTGTATATTGTGAAGGAATAAATTTTAATCAATAAATGCAAGTAAAAATGCATATGTTTCTCATGAAAATGCAGGGATATCCCATATTAAAGATAATGTCAACAATACGGTACCGTGTTGTGTAATTCCATCCCTTAATCAAACTTGGGTTGGTGGGCAGACTGCTGGAGAATGAGGTGTGTGCTGGACACCTGAGAAAGACAGTGGGTGGTGGACTGTGCCTACTGCTGGAGGAGTGGGGCTGCAGTGGGGTTGTAAGGCCCACCATTGCTGATCTCATCAACTTGCTGGACCGTCACAAGTGTGCCATTGCTTCTTCCTTCCTTCGTACTCATGTTCTCAGAGGTGAAACTAATATTCCATCTTCTTGATTGTTTTTGTGTGTATATACTCAACATTTGCTATTGGGAATTTTTGCATGCATAAAATTCTCTATTCAAGGAGGTCTTATTGGTTGTTCCAAGTTCAAAAATACTCAAGATTCATTTCCTTACACTTGGAAAGATGTCTATCTCTAGCAAAATTTTATGGTCGAATTGTATTTACAGAATCTTAGCTGCATGATAACTCAAGCTGTTACAAATAATGCTGATAACATGAAGGATGCATAAATAATTCATATGAAGAATTTTCTTTCCTATAGTTCAATTTGAATGCACTTGCTCATTTAGTGGAACATTCCTAGATTGGGTGTTGAAGTTTTCCAGTCTTCACCTAATTACTATTTTTTTTTTTTCTATATGTTAAGTGGGACCAACTTGTGTTGCAGAAAGATCATCGGAAAACCCAAATCAAGACTTCTTAGCATTGGATAATTTGCTCAATGAAAACAGTGGTTGCAGCAAGTCAGATGCCGTAGTGTCTTTCAATGAGCAATCAGCAGGCAAGCTTGCTCACATTGTTGATGGTGAACCTGAACTTGATAATCTTTTAGCTCATCACAATCAAGCTGCTGCAGAAGATGAAATAACTTCAAATAACAAAGGAGTTTCAGGAGCAATAACTTATCCATCTTTAGAAAGACTGGTAATGGGAGATGGCAATTCCCACAATGCTGATGGAGTTAATGCAAGTTTAGCTCATCGTGATCCCGTAGAATTGGACTCAAGTTTACCTCTTGTGCCTCATATTAGCTACGAAATCCTCTACAAAATTACTGATGGATTTTGTGAAACGCCACATGCTCGAGGAGGAAGAAAACTTGGGGAAGGTGCATTTGGTGTCGTGTACAAAGCCGAAATTTCTGTGAAAGACTTGTGGGGAAACGATACCACGGCCTTTCACCGCAGCTCCTTGTTGCAGCAAGAAGAAAACAGTGACGTCAAGCAACTGGCTATCAAGAAACTCAATATTGCTGATGAGCGAGTGGATAAACAGTTTAAAACTGAGGTGGAAATACTATCACAGTGTAACCACGTAAACATATTGCCTTTGGAAGGATACTCATGTGATGGACCTCACTGGTGTTTACTTTATGCCTTCATGTTGCACGGGAACTTACAGGACCGTTTGGCGTGTTGTAATGACACACAGCCACTAACATGGAAGCAGCGTCTCAGCATAGGTGAAGGAACTGCTGAAGGCCTGGCGTATTTACATACATTCCACAATCAGCCCATGATTCACAGGGATGTCAAAAGTGCCAACATTCTATTGGATGTCAATATGCAGCCGAAGGTAGGAGACTTTGGATTGGTACGAATGGGCAGCAACGGCTCCCGGACCGGGACCAACATCAAAACCACGACCGTGTTTGGCACGTCTGCGTACATGGCACCAGAAGCTTTCAGAGGTGACGTTTCCACCAAGATGGACACGTTCAGCTACGGCGTGGTCATGTTGGAACTAATAACCGGTCTTCCTCCTTACGACGAATGCAGGGACGGGCGAGACCTTTTATCTCATATTGAAGAATATGAATCCCTCCCAGCAACTCTGTGCGATACTAAAGCCGGTGCTTGGCCTTCTGGTTTACCTGAAGCTTTGTTTGAACTTGCCATGCTATGCTTTGAGGACAAGAGAACTCGTCCTTCTATGGTAGATGTTAAATCACTCTGGAAGGATTTACGGAAACGTTTCAATTGAACCATTGTTATTCATTCGATGACTTATTTTAATTCGTTTTTATCAATTCAACCGGCTTTTGTGAAACTCGTTTTTTTATATTGAAAACATTTTTGATGTATGATTTATCTTTCCTGGAACAAGTTCGAAGCAATTATCTGATTAGTAGTTGCGAGGTTAGGAGGTAATCGTTTTTTTATTGGAGTAGGTACTCTGATATTTTCAGAATTTTGGAAGTTATTGATAATCGTGAATTTCTCCAATAAGCTCTCTTGTTTATATCATATCAACGCATGATCATTTATATATGCAAGCAAAATTTTTAATTTTTGATACGTTCTAGTGCATGTTTCATGGAGACTGCCCATCGGTGATATATATATATAT